GATAGATAGATAGATGATAGATAGATAGATGGTAGATAGATAGATGATAGATAGAAGATAGACAGATAGATGATAGATAGATGATAGATAGATAGATGAATGATAGAAGATAGATAGATGAATGATAGATAGATGATAGATAGAAGATAGAAGATATAGATAGATAGATGAGAGATAGAAGATAGATGATAGATAGATGATAGATAGATAGATGAATGATAGATAGAAGATAGATAAATGATAGATAGATGATAGATAAAAGATAGATATAGATAGATAGATGAAAGATAGATAGATGATACATAGAGAATCTGCCTCTTTGTTTAAAGCAGAACTCCAAGCTGAAGCGGTGAAGGACAGGGAGCGCTAGCAGAGATGTGAGAGGAGGCTGTGTCATGGCTGTGGAAATGTGGAGCCCTGTTTTCCTACCATGCCTTGGACCAAGAAGCAGGTTGGAAGGAGGTGGAATAAGATAGGATCTTCCAGTGTTGCCTGTGGGGATCCCAGGGTAATGCCGGACTTGTTCCCATTTTCCATCTGTGACCTCACAGCGAATTCTCTGTGTCTTATGGTGTAGCCTCTCCAGAGGAAAGTATGGTAGTATGGCTAGCTTAATGAAGACAAGAAGATAGGGCCCCTGGAATGATAGAGCAGTGCACCCCCAAACGCTCACAGCCCTTGTGTGCTGGCTTTGGAGGCCATAGTTCTGGAAGTCATTCCCCAGCCAGGAGGAGGGTGTGCGTCCTGCCAGAGCCTTGAGGGGGACCATGGTGGCAATCCATGGGGCACACAATGAGGTGGATGCATCGTGTCTTCTCCCCACCTTTGCCAGGATGGCCTTTCCTTAAGCCCTGGCATTTAATATCATAAAGGCAGAGAGAAAGAAGTAACTGACTTTAAACCTAATGAATTGACCAATCATTGATTTTCACAACTTCAAGGATGAATACATAAAATTTTCTGACTCAGACAAAATGGGGATTTGTTAAAAAAAAAAAAGACAGTATAAATAAAATTACATGTTGTACATCTGAATTCATGAACCTATAATTCAACCTCCTATATACACTTTAGTTAACTTTGCAAATAATACAATATCCTTATCATATACAGGTCTCTCTCCTGCTTCTCCCCATCTCGTCTTTCATTTTGCTCTCTGCCTCTTCCTCCTTACTGTTTTTTTTATCATTAAAAAATTATTTACCTCTCATAAATAAAATTAATTCTTCCAGTGGTTTCTGGAGGAAGGTGCAAAAATTTTTTTCTGAAAACTATATTAAAATGATCTGAAGGTATTTCCTAACTTTAGAAAAAGGGGAAAAATTGATATTTGATCCAAAGACAGAAATGAGAGGAAAATTGTCAGGAGCACTTCTAATGTCCTTCAACATCTTTAAAATATTTAGACTCAAGTTCTAACCCTATTCATAAATATCCCCAATGCCTTAAAAACTGCCTGGCACATCATAGACACCCAATAAATATGTGTTGAATGAAGGAATAAAGCGAAGCCACTTTCCCGAGGCCATGTATGATAATCTGTCATTAAAACAGGACTGAAAAATAATTCTAACAAAGAAATGTATCTGCTCTCCACCCTCTTCTATTGCCCTTTATTCTGCCCTACCGACATTGGCTTAACAATTGCTTATGGTCAGCCTTTAATGTTATAAGGATGTACTGATGAGCTATTAGGGGCAAGAGATACTTCATCAATTAATGCATAATGAGTTAAATAAATCTGCACTGCTATGGGAAAACAATACATTTTGCCTTTAGTGAAAAGGTAAGAAAAGTTTATTGCTAGAAAAAGAAGATACACAGAATTTATTTGCTGTTTTGCTTTGTTTTTTCCACAATGAGTGTAGGTGTTCTAAATTGAACTCCCCTACCTACACTTCATAGAAAGCCCTGTTGGTTTCGGAATTGATGGTTTGTTCCAGGAATTGAAGATAGCCAGGTTTGTCCACAATGGTATTTTCCAATGTTATTCTGAAAGCCACTCAAGGTATCACACTCCCTCCTGGCCCAGAGTTTCTCCCCCAGAGACACACAACTTTGGTTTCCTGTCCTTCACCCCTTCTACTTTCTCTCTCTTTGATAAGGAACTTCATTCTTTTAATGCTGCCTTCTATGTTTCATTTGAGAAATATTAACCTAAAGTACACAAGTCTAGAAGATGTGAGGCTGGACAAATAGGCCACCCAGAAAAGGCAGGTATCAAGAGCAAAAGTCACCACTGAGGGAATGCCTTGTGTTTTGTTCACTTTGAAATCTCTCCTAGACCTTAGCATTGAGCTTATACTATCCCTGAAACAAATAACTGTGGAATGACCAAGAGCCAAAGATGTGATTCAGATCAACTGTAAATGTCCATCGAGCCAATGCATCTGAAGGCTATAGGAGCAAAAACTCAACAGCCTCAGGAAGAAATCCACCTCTGCATCCATTTTGTAGGTGCACCTTTGTGATCATGTGCCTCTATTTCAAAATAAGTTGTTTTAGATAAGCCCACTGATTCTCTAATAAGTGAGTCCTTCCTCCACTCGGAAAAGACCTTTGATACTTAACTGGATGCTCTCCATTAACTGAAAGATGTGGTCCCCGTCCAGGAGACTGAAAGCCTACAAGGACAATCTGTGCTAACCCAGGTACTTGTGCCTAAGATACCATCAAAGTGCGCGGTTTGCACAGTGACACAGACAATGTCATCGTCAGAGAGATAAATGCACAGCTGCTGTGAATTTTGGAAAGTCTTTTATCACCCTTTTGATTTTCACACATAATGTATCATTTCTGGGTCCTTTTTTTTTTTTTTTTTTAGTAGAGACAGTTTTTAGACTCATCTCCTCAAACCTTAAGGCAATTTAGGACCACTAAAAATGCATTACAGAGTAGATGGATCTCTCTAGCCTAAGGAAAGAACAGAAACTAATATTTCATATCATTTTTAGAGGCTGTATGTTAACAGTTGTGCAACAAAGACCCTAATAATGTTGGGAATATAAGGTACTTCGAGGGGATGAGCAACAATAATGCCGCGACAGGGGCTTCAATTGGCCAGTGATCTTCAAACAGTGACTAGCCTTCGGAAGCACACCGTTTAGAAAAACGTGAGAGTTTTCCCATGAGGCAATTTAATTTAAGTCTTCCAAGTATGTTTTAAGTTCATGGGAATCTGTCATTTGCCCAACAAAGTAGAAACATTAAATCCTCCTCCTCACGACCCACCCACCTGTTCCTACAGAAGCAGAAGCCAGATCCACACTATGACAAAGGATGCATTTTGGGAAGGAACAGGTGGGAAGGGGATCTGGATGCTGCAGGAGAAGCTGGTCCCTCAATGACAGAACTTTCCCACATGCTCTTCTCCCATTGCCTTTGTGTCTGCTTGTGAGTTCTGAGGCAGGAGGTCCTCTCCAGTCAGGAGCAGACATTTTTCATTAACTCTCCTCTCGTGATCTTGGGATAACAAGCTTGATAATACCTAGAAGTTCCAAAAAGCTCAGTAGTGCCTGTATATTTACTTCTAGACTCATGTTTGCCATTGTTTTCTGGTTTCCAATACTATTCCATCGTGGTGTCCCTGAAATCCCTGCTCATTCATGGAAGCTGCTCACAGGCCTTTTTTATTATTTTTTCCTAGAACATTATTTGATGGAGGCCATGACTGGGCAATATTTTTGCGGGGGTGGGAATCAAGTTGGCAACCCTTTTTTCTTCAGGCTTTTGCAGACATATAGATGTCATTGAAGACAAGCTACTGGAAGAGGCTTCTAATAATGAGATTTACACACTTTCACACAATACTTTATGAT